ATGGGACGCCGTACAGGGACCCATGAGAGACTCTGGACCTTGGCAGCAGCATGAGGAGGCGGTATAGGGGCCCATGGCAGATTAGGGGCCTGGCAGCAGCTATGGGAGGCCCGTAATCTGCCAGCACCCTATGTCAAAAAAAATTGAACACACCAGCAGTGTGAGGAGACCTGAAAGTGGCACATGGCATGTGGCATGAGACACTGTGGACCTGGCAGCAGCATGAGGAGGCGGTACAGGGGCCCATGGCAGATTAGGGGCCTGGCAGCAGCTATGGGAGGCCCGTAATCTGCCAGCACCCTATGTCAAAAAATTGGAACACACCAGCAGTGTGTGAGGAGACCTGAAAGTGGCACATGGCAGAGTGTGGCGATGGAGACAGCAGCAATGGGAGGCCGTACAGGGACCCATGACAGACTCTGGACTTGGCAGCAGCATGAGGAGGCGGTATAGGGGCCCATGGCAGATTAGGGGCCTGGCAGCAGCTATGGGAGGCCCGTAATCTGCCAGCACCCTATGTCAAAAAATTGAACACACCAGCAGTGTGAGGAGACCTGAAAGTGGCACATGGCAGAGTGTGGCGATGGAGACAGCAGCAATGGGAGGCCGTACAGGGACCCATGACAGACTCTGGACTGGCAGCAGCATGAGGAGGCGGTACAGGGGCCCATGGCAGATTAGGGGCCTGGCAGCAGCTATGGGAGGCCCGTAATCTGCCAGCACCCTATGTCAAAAAATTGAACACACCAGCAGTGTGTGAGGAGACCTGAAAGTGGCACATGGCAGAGAGGCGATGGAGACAGCACAATGGTGACGCCGTACTGGACCCATGAGAGACTCTGGACTGGCAGCAGCATGAGGAGGCGGTACAGGGGCCCATGGCAGATTAGGGGCCTGGCAGCAGCTATGGGAGCCCGTAATCTGCCAGCCCCTATGACAAACCCTATGTCACAAAAATTGACAACACTGACAGCAGCAATGTGATGAGGAGGACCTGAAAGTGGCACATGGCATGAGACACTGTGGACCTGGCACAGCAGCAGCATGAGGAGGCGGTAAGGGCCCATGGCAGATTAGGGCCTGGCAGCAGCTATGGGAGGCCCGTAATCTGCCAGCACCCTATGTCAAAAAATGGAACACACCAGCAGTGTGAGGAGACCTGAAAGTGGCACATGGCAGAGTGTGGCGATGGAGACAGCAGCAATGGAGGCCGTACAGGGACCCATGGACTCTGGACCTTGGCAGCAGCATGAGGAGGCGGTATAGGGGCCCATGGCAGATTAGGGGCCTGGCAGCAGCTAGGGAGGCCCGTAATCTGCCAGCACCCTATGTCAAAAAATTGAACACACCAGCAGTGTGTGAGGAGACCTGAAAGTGGCACATGGCAGAGTGTGGCGATGGAGACAGCAGCAATGGGAGGCCGTACAGGGACCCATGAGAGACTCTGGACCTGGCAGCAGCATGAGGAGGCGGTATAGGGGCCCATGGCAGATTAGGGGCCTGGCAGCAGCTATGGGAGGCCCGTAATCTGCCAGCACCCTATGTCAAAAAATGGAACACACCAGCAGTGTGAGGAGACCTGAAAGTGGCACATGGCATGAGACACTGTGGACCTGGCAGCAGCATGAGGAGGCGGTACAGGGGCCCATGGCAGATTAGGGGCCTGGCAGCAGCTATGGGAGGCCCGTAATCTGCCAGCACCCTATGACAAAAAATGGAACACACCAGCAGTGTGAGGAGACCTGAAAGTGGCACATGGCAGGGCATGATTCATGGCGGATTTAGTCAGTTGTGTCAGGAACTGGTGGTTTGAAATCCAGACTAATCCACGCCTGATTCATTTTCACAAACGTGAGTCTCTCCACACTTTGGGGACAGTCGTGTCCTCCGCGGAGTTACAATACCTCCTGCCGCACTAAACACGCGCTCCCGATGCCACGCTACTGGCCGGGCATGACAGCCTTTCAAGGGCAAATTCAGCTAGTTGGGGCCAAAGGTCAAGTTTCGTTGCCCAGTAGTCAAGGGGATTGTCTACCTCGGTTGGCAGGGTGCTGTCCAAGTAGGCCCAAGCCTGTTGTTTGAGGTCCTGCTCCAGGTCCACCTGATGCTGCTGGCTGCTGCTGCTGCGGCTGGTTAGTAGTTTCCTCACTGCTGCGCTGGTGAAGAAAGCTACTCATCATCGACTGCAGACTGAGGCAGCCGCTGCTGGTGGAGCTGCCACTGCTCCTACCACCCCACCCCCTCCCCTGCTGCCATGGCAGCGGAACGCGAGCGCACAGGGCCCACAGTGTCTGAGGATGGACGTTGGCGCACAAAGGCAGAGACCAACTGACTACATAGGTGGTTTTTTATAGTACGTTATTTTGGCCTCCCTCTCAGCAGGTGTGAAAAAGGCCACCATTTTTGAACGGTAGCGAGGGTCCAACAAGGTGGACAGCCAAAAGTCATCCCTCTGTCTGATGGTTATTATTCGGCTGTCGCTACGCAAGCAACCGAGCATGCTATGGGCCATTTGTGCCAAGGAATGCGAGGGACTCCCTGCCTCCATCTCCACAGCATACTGCCACGGTGCGTCTGGGTCCTCTGTCTCCTCCTCCTCCTCCTCCTCTACCAGATGCTCCTGCTCCTCCACTCCTGTCCGCTGAGTGGAAAAACCACCCATTTCACTCAATAATTCCTGAGCACAAATGTCCTCCCTCTACCTCCCTCCTCCTCTTCTTCCTGTCCTGCCCCCACAGGGGTCATGTGGCGTTGAGATCTGTGCGCCACGTCTACCGCACCCTGACCAGCCATTGTTAACAGCATTTGTTCCAGGACGTGCAACAGAGGAATGACGTCGTTCATCCCATAGTCCTGCCGACTCACGAATAGCGTGGCCTCCTCAAAGGGCCTGAGCAAGCGGCAGGTGTCACGCATGAGCTGCCAATGGCTGACATCGAAGTTACACAGGGGAGTACCTTTATCCGCTTGTAACATCAGGAAATCGGTGATGGCCTTTCGCTGTTCGTAAAGGCGGTCTAACATGTGTAGGGTTGAATTCCACCTTGTTGCAACGTCGCAGATCAGGCGATGCTGTGGAATTCCGTTTCTGCCGCTGCAGCTCAAGGAGGGTGTGCTTTGCGGTGTAGGAATGGCTGAAATGCATGCAAAGTTTACGTGACATTTTAAGGATGTCTTGCAGTGGGGATGGTGGATTTTAGGAACCGCTTGACAACCAGATTGAACACGTGAGTGAGCCATGCATGGCGCATGGCACAACCTTCCTTGACGCAGAGCAGACACCATGTTCTTTCCGTTGTCGGTCAACATGGTTCCGATTTTCAGTTTGCGCGGAGACAGCCATCTGTCGATTTCTCTGTTCATTACACTGAGAAGTTCCTCCCCTGTGTGACTACGTTCGCCAAGGCATACCAGGTGCAGCACAGCGTGACACCGTTGCGCCCTGCACATGTGATATGCCGGTCGGGTAATGGGACTTGGCACGGGGTGGCGGCTGAGGACACGAAGAAGAGGTGGTAGAGGCGGACATCTTTTTGGACCAAGGATTGCAAACGTGGAGGCAAAAGCGGCGTGACCTGTCCAAGTTGCTGGTGCGGCTGGTGACGGCACGGCACCACGTTCACGTTCACCCAGTGGGCCGTAAATGACATGTACTGTCCCTGACCGTAGTTACAGCTCCACACGTCGGCGCTGCCGTGCACTTTGGCAGAGACCGACATGCTCAAAAGACTGGCCCACCATCTCTTCTACATGTGAATGTGAATGCAGGGCTGGCACTGCCTTTTTGGCGAAGAAATGACGGCTTGGCACTCTCCCACCGCGGCGCGGCACAAGCCATCATTTCTCGGAAAGGTGCTGAGTCCACCACTTGGAAAGGGAGGGACTGCAGCACCAGCAACTTGGACAGGAGGACGTTCAGCTTTTGCACCGTCGGGTGCGTGCTCGCAAACTGTTGTCTCTTGGAAACGGATTCCAAGAAAGACTGCTGACGGAATCCGTGAAGAGGAGTAGCAGGAGAAGGAGCATCTGAACGAGCGGAAGATGCCAACGAGCGACAACTCCCCTCAGCAGAGGTGTTGGAGCCTTGACTGGCTGATAGAGGGCGATTGACGTCGGGTGACGGAGCAAGTAACGGAGCGGGGTGATGGAGCGGGGGCTGGGGCGGGCAGAACCGCCGTATCTTTATCACGGTTTTCCCAGGCCACCAAATGGCGACGCTGCATATGCTGCCGCAACGCTGTAGTCCCAACATGGGCCCCCTGGCCACGCTTGACTTTCTGGCCACATAGTCGACATACGGCTACGTTTACTTCCTCCTCGGGCGGCTTGACAAAAAATTGCCACACCGCCGAGTAGGAGTAGGAAACTTTGCCCCCGATACTCCTCACTGGCTGACTGCTACTGCTTCCTCCGTGCACACCGGCACCACTACTGGCCGTGGTGGTAGGCTGCAGTGGAGCTGGTGCTCTACTCCGTGGCCGTTTGCCTCCACTGACACTGCTGCTGCGACCCTGCTGCCTCCTGGGCAACCCACCGACTGTTTTGCTCGCTGCCAAGCTGCCACCCTCTTCTCCTGATGATGCGGAAGCAATAGCCTGATGACGACGAGGCTGCCAAGTGCGATCAGCCTCATCATCATCAATTAGGGTCTCCGCCTCACTACTAGCCCCCCTCGGCTGCGTGTGGGTCAGGAGACAGACCTGTCTCTAGACCGGCTACCGAGCCACTCTCCTCCTCGCCACTACTTCTTCGCCTGGCTGCTGAAGAGGCGGATGTCTCCCCCCGTTCCTGACCGCCCTCTGTTAGCTCTTCCTCACTGTACAGTGGGGCTGAGCCCACAGCATGCGATACTTCGTAACGTTTTGGTGAGGGAACACCAAAGGACAGGGGCAGGTAGAGGACACGTGATTTCAGTGGGCTTGCTCCCGGGCCATGCCAACTAACGGTTGTGTCTGACGTACCCACCGACCGTTGGCTGTAGGTGTCAGAGGTGACCTGGGAAGAGGAAGACGACCGAGCCAACCAATCGATGACGGCAGGGTTGTCGGTGGAGACACGACCGCTGGATGACACCGGGAGCACTGGCCTCTGGCTGCGACTAGTGCTGCCTCGACCCCTTCCTCTGCTGCCACGTCTGCTCGCTCCTAAAACATTGCCTCCTCTGCCACTCCTCTGCATGTTGTCTGACATACTCTTTAATTAACGATTCTGTGTCCCTGAGTAACAAGTAACAATTCTGTGTTGTCCCTGAGTAACAATTCTGTGTCCCTGAGTAACGTTTCTGTGCCCTAAGTAACGTTTCTGTGGCCCTCAGTAACACAAATTTCTGTGTGTCCCTCAGTAACAATTCTGTGTCCCTCAGTAACAATTCTGTGTCTGTCCCTGAGTAACAATTCTCTGTGTTTCTGTGTCCCTGAGTAACAATTCTGTGTCCCTGAGTAACAATTCTGTGTCCCTGAGTAACAATTCTGTGTCCCTCAGTAACAATTCTGTGTCCCTCAGTAACAATTCTGTGTCTGTCCCTAAGTAACAATTCTGTGTCTGCCCTAAACAAATTCTGTGTGTCCCTGAGTAACAATTCTGTGTCCCTAAGTAACAATTCTGTGTCCCTAAGTAACAATTCTGTGGCCCTCAGTAACAATTCTGTGTCCCTCAGTAACAATTCTGTGTCCCTAAGTAACGTTTCTGTGGCCCTAAGTAACGTTTCTGTGCCCTCAGTAACGTTTCTGTGTCTGTGGCCCTCAGTAACAGTAACAATTCTGTTCTGTAAACAATTCTGTCCCTAAGTAACAATTCTGTGGTCCCTAAGTAACAATTCTGTGGCCCTAAGTAACAATTCTGTGGCCCTAAGTAACAATTCTGTGTCTGTGGCCCTGAGTAACAATTCTGTGTCCCTAAGTAACAATTCTGTGTCCCTAAGTAACAATTCTGTGGCCCTAAGTAACGTTTCTGTGGCCCTAAGTAACAATTCTGTGGCCCTCAGTAACAATTCTGTGTCCCTCAGTAACAATTCTGTGTCTGTCCCTAAGTAACAATTCTGTGTCCCTAAGTAACAATTCTGTGGCCCTAAGTAACGTTTCTGTGGCCCTAAGTAACAATTCTGTGTCCCTAAGTAACAATTCTGTAACAATTCTGGTCCCTAACAAAGTAACGTTTCTTGGCCCTAAGTAACGTTTCTGTGTCCCTAAGTAACGTTTCTGTGGCCCTAAGTAACGTTTCTGTGGCCCTCAGTAACCAAGTCTGTCCCTAAAACAATTCTGTTTCTGTGGCAATTCTGTGTCCCTCAGTAACAATTCTGTGGCCCTCAGTAACAATTCTGTGTCCCTAAGTAACAATTCTGTGGCCCTCAGTAACAATTCTGTGTCCTGTCCCCTAAGTAACAATTCTGTGTGGCCCTAAGTAACGTTTCTGTGTGGCCCTAAGTAACGTTTCTGTGGCCCTCAGTAACACGTTTCTTCTGTGTAA